TCTTCCTGGAAGCAATCAGAAAGCATAAAAAATTACCAAAACACATACTCAATTAAGTATTAAGGCCACAGATAAACATTCAACATGTCCAAGAAGCAAAAGCAGATGACCATATCAGCACATATCCAGAAAAAAGATAAAATCTCTGAGACAAATTACCTAGAAGTAGACCTTGACTCCATTCTGGAAGGAGGGCAGGCCTTGGAAATGCCTGAGGAAGAATTAAGAAAAATGATTATAAAATGTTTCAAAACACTCTACAATGGAGTTGAGAAAAATAAGGAAGAAGTCAGGAAAGTGTTACAGGAACAATCAAATAAAATAGATACAGCATTGGAAACAATTCAAAACCTACAGAAAGAGGTCCAAACGATCAATAACAAAATAACAGAATTAGAGAAAACTCTGAAAGGGCAGAGGAGTAGAATAGATGAGATGGAAGGTAGAACCAGTGAGCTGGAAGACAAATCTCTGAATACCACTAAGATAGAAGAACAAACACAAAAAAGGATTTAAAAATTCAGAGGAAGTTCTAAGATTCATGTTGGACAACATGAAGAGGAATAACTTAAGAATTATCACCATTCCAGAACAAGAAGAATCACACAAGTCCACAGAAGAAATAGATGAAGAGCTGCTGGAAGTAAATTTCTCTAATATCCTAAAAAGTGGAAAGATAAACATTCAAGAAGCTCAACAAACTCCAGGAAGGGTAGACCCCAAAAGAAAATCACCAAGACATATCATAGTCAAGCCTTCCAAACTCAAAGATAAGGAGACACTTCTGAAAGCAGCCAGGGAAAACAGAAGTGTTACATATAAAGGCAAGCAAGTCAGATTAAGCTCGGATCTCTCAGCAGAAACCATGCAAGCAAGAAGGCAATGGGGAGACATATATAAAACCTTGAAAGAAAAAAAAATTGCCAGCCAAGAATCCTTTATCCAGCAAAGCTATCAATCAAATATGATGGTGTGATCAAAACATTCCAGGATAAACAGAAGCTAAGGGATTTTACCAAAGCCAACCCTGCGCTACAAAACATCCTAAAGGGAGTTCTGTGGACTGAGAACGAACAAGAACAGACAACAAAAAGAGATTGACATACGTGGCAGCTCCTCCCTGAATTAAGTCAACAGAAAGAAGAGTTGTTAACAAAACAAAACTATAAGAACAAACTCAGAGAATCTGGGAGGTCAGTCTATGATCAAAACAAGTTCAATGTAAAAGAAGGTAAACACGTAGGAACAGAGATCCAGATAGTGAGAAGGTCAGGTAGATTACAGGATAAAATAGACTGCACTAAATGGACAGAAAAGTTAATGGACT